TTTTTTTTCCTCGCCGACTCCCCCTCCACCTGAGGGAACCCCTGGACCTGTGGGAGCTGGTCTCCCGTACTCTATTGATCTGCTCTTTGGTGCCTTACAGAGTAGGTCTCTTTCTGATTTGTATTTTAGTAATTTAGTTATCACTCCTATATGCCTACTCCTGCAGTGTGTAGATTCTTTGAAGAAAAAGTCTTCCAGGGGGAGAAAGAGCTAGAAACCTATTACAGATCTACCTTTGTTTTTATATCTTCTATTTGAACAGTTGCGCTGCACTCCGTTCTAGGGTGGGTGGTAAGGAGACAAGGAGACACTACTTGTCCAAAATCAAACACGAGAGGCAGAATTCACAGCAGTGGGAGGGAGCATACCTAACTAGTACCCAGAGGAAATAGCTGTCACTGGGGGAGGGCTACCCAAGAGGAACTGTGGTCTTCATTAGAGAGCACACCTAAGGCAAAACCATAGCCTTGGAGGGAGGGAGCCGGAGAATAAGGATCCTGACTCTTGCATTCTGCTCTCCATCTGCTGCTAGTATTTTCTAATGGCTGAACCCAGTAGGAGCCAGAGTTCAGGGCAGCTTTGAATCCATGAAAGTCAAGTCTCCTGATGCTTAGAGTGATTTGCAGAAGGGTAGAGCCTGACCCTGAATGGACAATTTTCAGTGTAGTAATGGAAGTTATACTCATCTGTCTTAGCAATTTTGGGCTCACATGGAGTCATAGGGCATGACGGTTCCAATGGCTGAAGAAATATAGCTTTGCGTTGCCCTTTTAGGGCCAAAATCAATGAGAAAATCTACAGTAAGCAGACAGAATGACTGCAGCTTCTTCTTGGATCTTATTTTAGGCATTGGTGAAATATGAGTATTGAATAGCATCTACTAAAAGGCAATAATTTCCCATTATGATGAGATACAGTAAGATAGTTCCATTTGGGGTAGAGATAAAATCATGGAGCTGCTTATTGCAAAAAGAGTTAGTGGGGAAAAAAGTCACTGTTGTCTTAGAATGTCAGGCTGGGCTTTGCCAGAGGAAATGGACGACGTGAAGATTTCCCAGGAAACAAAGTGCTCTTACACTGAGCACAACCAAAAAAGGTCACTTTGTAGACCAAATGAAAATGTATAATTTAGCGCGTGGAACCTGCAGAGTTGTCAAAGCAAAGTGAGGCAGTGCTGCTTGAAATAGCCCTGTGAGCTCAGCATGGAATTGCGGTGCTGGTGTATTTAATCCCACTTCATATTGTTTTCCTTGTTAGTTTGCTTTTTTCCTCCTAAGACCTACAGTTATTTTTCCTCTGGTGTCTCAGATGGAAAATGTGTGTGATGATTCAGCACTGCACTCTGACTTGCTAATGGATTGTCACAGACAGGAGTTTGCTCTGCTCTGAAGCCTTCTTTTGACATGGTGCACACGAGAGTGTTGAGGTTCAAGTTCATTTGCTCAGGGCATATGGTTTTCTTTTTCAAAGGAGGGCAGTTTTGTAGTTTCTGGGTCATCTAGTAGGTGTCACCAAATAATATTTAGAGTTAGTGGATTGGACATGTAGAGGTTAAATTTCTCATTTCACATAGGACATGAGATTTGAAAGAAGAAAGTGTATGAGGTGCATTTATCCAGATACAGACATTGGCAGGGATGCTAGGCTGAAACCTGACAGGCTCCTTTGATTGAGAGAGGGAATTTGGGAAGAATCATGAATAGTTATTCTATGCTCCAGAGGGAGGCAGCTCTGTAAATATTCATTGATGAAAGTGGAGGGTGTGCACAATTTTGACAATAATTTAAAACTATGGAAAAGAAGGGGAAGGTACGGGTTTTTGAGAAGCGTTTGTGTGTGTGTCTTCATGGTAATCTATCTTAAATTGTTTGGACTTTGGATGTCCAAAATTGTAGCAAAGCTAATTCTAAAAGTCATCCTAGTACCAGAAAACATGAAACTTTTAAAAATGAGTTTCCATTAAAATGCCCTGTTGTTGCCAAATTCAGGCAAGTTGGATTGTCCTTGTGCCACTGATGTATCAATACCTGTGCTCTCAGCATCCACAGGAGAAACTTGTTCTTTCCAAGTGACTCCACCTTATAATTAAAACAATTCACTCCAATCATCACCCTTACTTTTCATTGCTGACAATGTCTTTTGCTTGAAATTTTTGTTAAATGGTAAGGCCAAGAGAGAGAGAGATACTAGGAATATCTTCTCTACTTGCTTATATGACCATTGGAAACTCAGAAATTATGAACACATGGCATGAAGAAGCCCATTTGCACCTGGATTTGGGCCCCCAGGACCCTTTAGAAGAGTATTGTATCTTGGAAGCAAAGTACAACTCTGCAACATTTTTTCTTTTTTTTTTTTTAATTTCAGAATTCCAAGAATGGGACACTTTTGTTTTACAATTGATAGGAGGTTATTTTTGCTATGTCTCCTGCCACAAACTGCATTGCCAATATTAAGTTCTATAACCCCAAAGTCACTCCTTTTGTTTTATGCACCCTATGGTTTGATCCCTAGTTGAGACGGTCTTCATCCTGGTACAGCATTGTGGTTGTGACTTTCACTATTTTTACACTATCCCTCTGCAAAAGAAAATGTAGCAATAGAGGAAAAGTACAACAGGTCTTTAAGAAGGGGTGGCAGATGAGGCTGAAGTTAAGGATTTAAAGATATAATATAAATGGGGATGTGACTCTCGTTACTGTCGGGGAAGGGAGCAAAGAAGCCTCGCTTATATTATGAAAGTCCTATAATTCAATCTAACACTGGCTTCGAGAAAGGGGTTCTGGTCTCAGTTTGGCTACAATGATTAAAAGACTTCAGAGCTCGGGTTTAATAGGGTTTAATAAAAGCATAAGTTTGGTCACTGAACCTTAATTTCTTTAGCTACACAAACTGAGCAATGCCTTAAAGAAATGAAGTCTTGTAATACAGAATTCTGAGCTCCATGCTTGTCTGTAGGGATGCTAGCCATAGAGACTTTCCTGGGATCCCTCAAATGACATGAGGGAGCAGCCACACTCACTGCTTATGTGACATTTCAGCCACTTCGATGGTGAAGATACTGGAAAATCCTTACAGTGCCAACAGTGTCTTAGAGATTTTTACTTTTTCTCTGACATTCTATTTGGCCTTCAACTGGCAGGAAGCATGGGAAAAAAAAAAAAAAAAGAAAACTTGTTTAAGACTCCTGAATTACTTATTTAAAGTTTAAACTTTACATTTTTCACTTTTAGCTCTTTTGGCAAAATATATGAGTTGTGTCCAGAAGAGACTCCAAATTTGTGCCCTCATACCTTTCCCCCACTCTAAGTTAATTAGATAATGTCAAATCTTATAAGATGCTTTTTGGGAGAGCAGTGTAATTTTTGCAAAGCAATATTCCAAATGTGAGTTATTAAAATGGCTATGTTTCTTAAAGGTCTCAAAGTACCCTTTCCTCAGGATTTCTGGGAGGAATATTAGCTCTGTTTTATAGAAGAACATGAACTGAAGTCTAGAGCCGTTGAGAGATCTGTAGGGTATGCAGCGAGCTCCCGTGTGGGAAAAAGGAACTTTTGCCTTGGGGCTAAAATTCGGGCACTTTCCCATTTCTCAGCTGCAGAGAAGCTCTGCTGGCCAAGGGAGGGGTGGGACTGGGGGAGAGGTTGCAGTCAGCCTCCCGGCTGATGCCTTGAGTTGGCTGAGGTCAGCCAGAGAGGAAGGCTAAGTCATGGTGATGCTCTGATGTATGTCAGTGTGTGATTTATGCAGTCTGTTAGACAAGCTGCTTTCTTCCCCTGTTCCTCAGGCAGTTTCATTGCTGGAGATGACTGTCAGCTGCTTTCCCTGCGTAGCCACCATCACATGCCCCAGCACCCGGAGCCTGGGAAGCCTGACCACGGACCAGCTTCTCCGAGGCATGAATAATTAGGTAGGCATAATGGAAGGCACTCACTGCACCCTCCAATTGCGAACGCCCATTACTGAACTCTGCTACATCAGCTTCTATCTTCCAAAGGGGGAGGTCAGAGGATTTTCATACAAGGGCACTGTAACTCTAGACAGATCCAATAAAGGGCTTCATAACTGCTACCAAGTCAGGGAGGGGTCAGACATCGTCAGCCTCAGCCTGCAGCCGAATGAACATCCAGGCGACATATTTTTCAAGGAAACGCCCACGAAAGACATTCTAACGGAACTGTACAAACTCACGGCAGAGCGAGAGAGACTGCTGGCCGATCTGCTGAGTTCAGACCACATCCTGGGGATCACGATGGGGAACCAGGATGGGAAGCTGCCAGAGCTGTCCGTGAGCCTGGCCCCTGAGGACAACTGTTTGCAGGGTGCTGGTGACTGGCAGGCGGAGCCCCCCGTGGGCTGTCTCAATAAGAGGGGCGCCCACGGGCACAGAAAGCCCCGGAGGTCTGGTGGAAGAAGAGAGAGCTCTGAGGCGCTCCCACAGAAGAGGACAAGGAGAAAAGGGCGTGGGGACCAGGAACCGGCTCCTCAGATGGGAAAGGACCAGGTCTGTCCTAGCAGCACCCTTCCTCTTTCTCGAGCGAGGCCTGGTCTTTGGCTCCTAGAGGAGAAAGGCAACTTGCTCCCAAACAGGCCCCTCACCTCTTCCCTGCAGAGGAGAGAAAGCTGGCCCCCGGAGATCCCCAGGACACCAGACCCTGGCCCTGGCCATGGGAGCTTTGGGTCGGCTTCTGAGGACATCAAGCCTAGAAGAGGAGGGCTGCCTCCTGATTACAGCTCCAGGGGACCAGGGGATGGTGGTGCTAGGGGGCTACAGAGGGGGCCTCCCGGTCTTGCACCTCTGCAGACAGGCTTGTCTCAACGTCACGAGGACCCCGAGAAGCATCCAGGTGCAGAGAGGGGCCGGAGGGAGAAGCCTGCTGGGCGGACTCGCAGGAAGAAACCTGTCTCCAAAGTGGTGGCACAAGTCCAGGACCTGTCTGCTCAGGTGCAGAGAGTAGGTAAAACACATCCTGAGGACGGCGAGGGAAGGGCTACCGTGCTCCAAGCAGCCAAAGCTGAGTTTATACCCAGCACAGACTTGCTCATCCACCCAGGAGCTAAGGCTGGGGCTCATGGTTCCAAGCAGCGGGGCCAGGAGCAGCGACCGGATGAGTCCTTGCAGACCTCGGCCAGGGACCATCCTCCAGCCAGCGCCACGGGGGCTGTGAACAAGGTCCTCCTGAAAGTGAAAGAGAGCGAGAAGTTAGATGAAGCCACCGAGGGGAAAAGGCTGGGTTTCCCCCTCAGCACGACAGCCACCCACAGCCTCCCAGACACTAGACGCAAGAGGAGAGCTGGGCTGCCCTTGAGTGGCCACAAAACCTTGTTTCTGGATCTGCCCCGCAGTGTCGGCCCTGACTCCTCAGAGCCCCAAGGTGATGAGAAAAGGCTGTCCCCCCCAGCACTGGCAGCCCTGGGCATGGTACTTAATAATTCATCCTCTCAGTCTGGCACACACAAACGGATGTCACCTGTTCCCTCGCCTCTATCTCCAGGGCTCCCCAGCCCTCAGCAGCATCACAGGATCCTCCGGCTGCCTGGCGAGAGGGAAGCCGCTCTTGATGACTCTCCTGGTAGAAAGAGCGGTGCCTTCTCTGAGTCCCCATCTGCTGACACCTTGGAGCCACCGTTCTCTGCAAAGGTCACGGAGACCAAAGGAGCCAGCTCAGCCTTCCTCAGAGCAGACCAACCTCGGTTGGTGCCTGGGGAACCTTTGGAAAAAAGCTTGGGGCCCGGGAAGATCACAGCTCGGCCTCAGTACCACTTACCTCGAGGTTAGTCCCTGTTTAAGATGCTTTACATCTGTGTTTTGGGTAGTTCACAGATTGCTTATGCAGCCTGTGACTGATAAATTAACAGTGAACCAAAATTCCTAGGCCTGTTAGTCACTTCACTTTGTAGCAAGAAAATTGGGAGGGGTACAGGGGAGTGTGGAGATTGTGAGAATGGTGTTGACTTACGAAGGCGGGTATAGTTGCTTCCAGAAGCAATATTTTGTAAATGTCTTCATTTTATTTTATTTTGGGGGGGGGCAGCTGCCTCCATGTTTACTTAACACAGGACTTTCAAAGGAATCAAGCAAATGGGCAGAGAGAAATAGCCACCTGTCGCTGCCTTTGATGCTAACACTGGGTAATTGGCCCTTTGACCTAAATTTTGCTGTTCAAGCTGCTGGTGTAGCTTGAGTTTGATTCTCTAAGCAGAAGAACAAAAGCATGTGTCTTCACTCATCCATCTGTTGTTAGAGGTTTTCATTTTTAGCAATCACCTTTGTAACTTCATGATTTCATAACAGAAACTTTGTTTTCACCAGAAGAGAGGTGAATTCAGTCTAATTTGAAGGGGCTTAATTCAGATTTTCTTTTTTTACTTTGTTTTTTAATTTCCTAAGGGAGCACAAAATAATGTTTATGCTGAAGTTATATTTTATGGATGGGTTGCTACTGTTACTGATGTAACATGTCTTATGCAAAAAGTGCTAAAGAGCTAATCTGACTTGTATACTCAGTGTGGTTTAAAATTTCACATGAAAATCATTTGGGGGGTTCTGGAAGTGGGTTCGAAAAGACCAAAAAAGACAGGGTATAAGAAGTGCCACTCCTGTATTTGTTAACGTTTTCCAGGCCAATGTAGGCAGGTGCTCGGGGTCCTGTATGCTATTGTGTAGGTAACAGGTTCTTTTTCAGCGGTTCTTTAACAGCATCTGGTCAGTGCTTTGTCTAGGGAATAGCTTGCAATATGATATGTGGTCTCTTAAAGGTTAGAGAAAGCATCATACATGCAACTTTTGAGATCAAAGTATGTAGGAAAAAGAAGCTTCAAAAGCTTTCTGTTCATTTTGAATTTTTGACATTTTTTTTTTTTTACATTTCTCTAAATCATTGGTCCAGGAAATAGGTCTATAAAATGTGCTTTTCATCTTGTTTTTCAATATATTGATGTTAGTTTGATAAGACTTGCTTCTTTCATACTATGACGAATCTGCATCACCAAAAAGTCATAGAATTGTAGATTTTATATCATGTATCCTCAAACCCTAGTAATGAAAATTTTTTGTATCGATGCTGGATACTTTGAAATACTTGGAAAGGAAGCTTTCTACAACTATTAGGTGACAACCTTTTGGAGGCGTGGGTGTGGAATATAGCTAGCTTTGCTCTGAAGATTTTTTGTTTGTTTGTTTTTGTTTTTGTTTTTTTAAGAAATTACACCAAATTCTAGGATTGTGTGTGCCTGTAAATACATTAAATTTCAGTAAATCTTTTTGTCCCCTGATTTAGAATTATCTTTTTATTTTGTTGTAATATATATATATATATATATATAATTTATTTATTTATTTATTTATTTATTTATTTATTTATTTATTTATTTATTTATTTTAATCTCTGGTCTGGGTCAAGGCAGAGGCACAGAGGACAGTTTCTGTGGTGACTGACCACGAGCTCACTGAAGGGCAAGTTCAACGGATGATCACTTTTTCCCTTGGCCTCTGTACAATTGCTCAGAATTATTCCCTTTACTTTGGTCCTGCCTTCTGTTGGGATCTTCAGTAGCACTTTCAGGGGCCAGTCATTAGAATCACAGGGAGGCCACCTGTGCTGCTAACCTAAGGAAAGGAGTTGGAGGAGGAAAGGAGAATAGGAGGGTGGAGAGACCTTTTTTTCCTGTTATGGATAACTTCCCTTTTGTTGGGACCTACCCCCGGGACATCCAAACATTATCTCTTATCTTGGCCCTCCTTTGAAAAGCACTGAGGGATATCCCTAGATAGTATCTTTGATCTGTATCTGTGTTCTACTCTTTCCTCCCTTTAATTCCCTTTTTCTACAGCCACGAATCCTTTTATATTTTGGATCCTTTAGTGACTTCCTGTAGTTGGTGGGTCCATAAGGGTGACTTTTCCTGCTTGCAGCTGATTTTGTCTTAGTGTTATTTCTCCTCCCACCCTATTCAGCAGAGGCCTCATACAGCCCCCACAGCATAGAAGAGGGGTCTATAATTCATTTATTGTCACTGCACAGTGGTCCCTTATCTAAATCCAGCTCCCCCCTTTCTCCCACGTTAGCTATTACCAGGTTGAGTTTATGGTCTGTGGACATTTATTTCCTGTGGAAATAACATGTAGGTATTTGATTGAAGCGATGTGATTAAGATTGCTGCAAACTCCCATTAACTGCTCAAGTAAGAGATTAAGTCTGGCAAAAGTAATCAGGTCCTTTTTTGGCTGAAAGACTCTTAAGTGTTATAGACAAGTAGTAATTTCCAGGAAAGAGTCAAATCCTCTTCCCCTCTCACAGAACCAAGCTGTTAAAGCCAACATTACAGTCCACCCAGGAGATGGTATAAAGGTATCACAGAGGCTATTGGTTCACATCCTGTCGGCTTTGTCATTTTCCTGACTCGTCCTTCCAAGAGATATGCACAGAATTTCTTGCTATACAAATAGAGAATATACTAACAAGGAATGGTGGCCAGATTTGTCTTCTGGTGGTCCTCCCCATTCTCCCCCAAGTCTCCCATCTTGGAATTGGTTTTATACTCTTTTATTTTGAGATGGAAACTGCTGTACCAAGCCTTTGTGGAATGTGCTATTTTCTCAAACCTTGAGGGACTCTAGTTGTGC